AAACTCAGGCTGTTTGGGCTACAAATATCAATTGTACATTAAATTGTGGGGCTTGTTGAGAAGTATGCTTTTTATTTTCTAAGTGATCTGACTTAAGCTTTTTGCTTGGCAGATTATAAAACCAGTGTTATTTTATATTGCAGTATTTAAACTTAAAGTGCCCCTATTATGAATTTTTGAAAATTACCTTTCATGCACAGCTCTAAGTGAATGAAAACATCCTGCAAAGTTTTAAATTCTTGGCCCTCATTATTTGTTATAGGATCATGCTGAGCTGTGCCGCAGCTCACAGATGGAACGGTCCCACATCACAGGAAATCCCTGAAGTAGATAAATGATATCATGAGCATGTGGTTGCTAGTCAAAAAAACCCTATAGATTTCTGAAGAAGGGCATGTGCATGGTTATATATTGATTTTCATCTGTTAGATCTCAATGTGAATGTCATCAGTGGTGCTTGCATCACTATTTACTCTTTTCACTAACCTTAATTATTAAACTCAGGCTGTTTGGGCTACAAATATCAATTGTACATTAAATTGTGGGGCTTGTTGAGAAGTATGCTTTTTATTTTCTAAGTGATCTGACTTAAGCTTTTTGCTTGGCAGATTATAAAACCAGTGTTATTTTATATTGCAGTATTTAAACTTAAAGTGACCCTATTATGAATTTTTGAAAATTACCTTTCATGCACAGCGCTAAGTGAATGAAAACATCCTGCAAAGTTTTAAATCTGAAAGTGCACCGTGTATAAAGTTATTGTCTCTCAAAAGAAAGAGTCGACTCTGAATCATTGAAACGAGTCGTTTTTTAAATGAATCCCAAGCCGTTGACGTCAACATGAAACATTAGCATATTGGCTGCCCACTTGTTGGTCTTTTCGCGTTGGTCTGAATGAAAATGCAAATTCATTCTTTGCCACTAGGTGACGCTTTTGGAGCAGTAAAAATAGCTGTTTCCCCGGTAACGCTGTACACAATTCAGCACTGCACTCACAAACGCTGCTTTATCAGGCATTACAGGCTCATGATGAAATGAAAATGAGACCAATCGGACCAATCACCGCAGATTAGCGTCACACCAGGGGTTTGGAAAAATGAACCATTGAGCGAATTGTTTGGGAGTCGTTGAGCAAGTAAGGTAAAAAATAAATGCATATTATAAGACAATGAAAGTGTTTTTTGACCTTGCATGCATGTCAACCTGTTGTTGGGGACTCCCAAAACCAAAATATGAACCTTTCATTACCCATAATAGGGGCACTTTAATAATATTTTTATGTTTTCATTTTTTATTTTAATTTTTTTAATGTAAGCTTTTTAAAATATTTCTTTTTAGTTTTTTATATTTATTTCAGTTTTAGTACTTCAATTTGTTCTTTAAATGTATTTTAGTTAGTTGCCAAGGCAGCATTTCTATTTTTTTAAGTTAGTTTTTCTTTTATTAATCATGTTTTATTTAAGCTTTATTTAAGTTAATGAAAATATTTCTAATAGTTTTAGTTGTAGTTAATAATAACAGCACTGGAACACCTTAGTAACACAGCAACAATTTGGCAACCATCCTTAGCACGCTAGCATCATGCTGGGGAGTTTAGCACAGGCTGGAACCACTCAGACAAATATAGTTTTGCTTGTATATGCAGATAGTTCACCCAAAATGTTGTTTACTCGTGTTGTTCAAACAACATTGGACCACATTGACTTCAATTGCAGTATTTTTCAAAATATCTTCTTTTGTGTTACACAGAAGTTGGAACGACGAGTAAATGACGACAAAACTTTCATTGGGTGAACTATCCCTTTAAGAAAGCTTGTTAGCTAGTTTCAAGACATGTTTAAGCTTAAAGCTGATATTATTACCCAGAAGAACAGATTTATAGTCCAGTGTGTAACCAAAGGCGTTACCTCGTGAGTTTGGACAAACCACACATCCTTATGGCTACCCCCACACTCCTCGCTGTATGTTGCTGTATATTGTAAAGACCTCTTGAGAGGACACAAACACTTCCTACCCATGACAGAGTTACACCCCGGTTTCCTGTGCTGGGCTCAGGGCACTCGAACAGACTGCGGCAGCTCTCCTTGTTTTGTTACTTTTCCAACAAGCCCATGTTATCATCATCCTTCAGTCCCACTCAACTCACCTCCTCGGTCTCACAGCTGTGTGGGTTATGTGACCTGGAAGTGCTGGAGGAGTGGAGAGGAAGACGTTATAATTACGACAGGATGCTGGAATTTCTCAAGTTCTGTCAACACATTTTAGCACTGCACAATATTGATTTTTGATATGGTCAAAATATGATTTGTGATATTACATCTATTTTTTATTTATTAATTTAGCAGATACTTTAATCCAGTGGGGATTTGGAGGAATTCTGCCACACAGGCAGTTAATCTTAAAGAGACAGTAACACAAGAAGTTAACAAAGGTTTAAAATTGTTAAAAAATTAGTTAATGGATGAAGTAGTGACAAAAAGCAGAGAGGAGGATGCTGCAAAGAACAGGTTGGATGTAGGCAAACCTGGAGGGCTAATTAGCCATGTGTTCCCTCAGGAACTTCTAATGGGTTTTTAGAGTGGCTGTGTTCGATTTATGATTAAAATAAGATCTGTGGTTACACTACTTGAAGGCATTGTTCCATTAATAATCTATGACATCAGTTGCACACTGTCATACCTTAGATGTGAACTTTGTAACCTTTCTCAGACGTTTCTTCTATGAGACAATTGTTGACGTATTTGAAGAATTTGAGAAATGTTTGAATTCATGTTGATCCGTCACTTTTGATTGTAGGTACTAAGCTTTGGGATCTTTCTGAAAACTAGGTTGGGAACAGGAAATATACAGGTTCATATCCAACTTGACCAGTGTTGTCCGATTCCCAAACAAATGACTGATAAACAAAATGGCTCATTTTTTTGTTATTTTGTGAATCAAACAAAAACAGCACAGTGTAGAACAATTCTTGAACTAATGTCTCTTTAAGAACTATCTCTTTTAAGTGAATCAGAAACATACAGCACAACCAGTATAGTTAGATTCCCAAACAATTTCTCTCATGAACCAGTTCTTTTTAGTGAATCAAATAAATACAGAGCAACCAGTATAGCCTGACTCATCTAATGAACCGGTTCTTTTTAGCAAATCAAACAAAAGCAGCATAACCATTGTAGTACCATCGTACTTTTTTAGTGAATCATCAACATGCAGCATGGCCAGTGTAGATAGATTCCCAAACATATGACTCTTATAAAGTGGTTCTTTTTAGGGATTTAAATAAATACAATGCAACCAATGTAGTCTGAATCCTGAGAAAGAGTCTTCTGAATTAGTGAATCAGAAATACACCGTATAGCCAGTGTAATCTGATTCGCAATGACTCTTAAGAGCCATTCTTTTTAATGAATCAATGACAATTATATAAGTCAGAGTGGTTGGTGAACACACAATTTAAGACTCACTTACTTAACAGCAAGTGGTTACTGTATATGTTATACTTGTTGGCTTGGGAGAAATCAGTGTAATTTTAGTGTTTGTTCATATGCAAATATGTTCTATTTAATAATTTTATTTGGTCAGTTATTAGATTGCATTTATGCAGCACTGAAAATATGTAAAATAAGGTAATATGTAAGAAAAAAAAAAAAAGCCTTTTAAAATGACACTTACATTTTTTCCTGATTTGTTATACCATCAGTTGAAATCTAAATGATCAGATGTTAACAGTACGGTCACAGATATATTGTGCATCCCCAGTAACCCTGTTTTGTCAGGCTGTGAATGGACATATGATGCGATTTCAAGTTTTCCTTTCTCTTTGGAGTGTTACAAGCTGTTCGTGAATAGATAAGATCCCTAAAGTTGCAAAGACAAAAGTCTCAAACCCAAGGAGATATTCTTTATAAACGTTAAGACTACGTCACTGTGTGGGAAGATTTGCATAACACCGCCCTAATGTTTACTCAAAGAAAGAAGGCGTAACTTTGATTCTCGCTGTAGTACTGTTGCTGCCGCCACCACCATGTCGTGGAGACACTGTGTTTTGTTGTGAAAGCAAAACTACTTTGTTTGGTCTTCCAAAAGAGGACACAACTAGAAATCAGTGGTTAGAGGACTGTTTCCTGGGAGAGTAGCCTACAATGCCGGTGTTCTGACAAATAATGCTGACTCACAGCAAGTACATTTTCATATTTAAAGAATTTGCCACTGACGATTCAACTGCGAGTTTTGAAAAGGCGGGGCATAGAGGAGAAACAATAATGTGCAGTATGTGGAAAATAATGTTTTTTGAACCTTAAACCGCATAAACACATTTCATTACACCAAATACACAAAATAATGTTCTTTTTAGCAACGTCATATGACCCCTTTAAGGGATTTTGCCAGTCTCATGTGGTTTGTATGTGTGTGTATGGACTAGGCCTGTGCACAGTGACAGGAGACCAGCAGGTGCGTGACTGTGAACCTCGACTGGGAGGGTTAAAGGGTAACTGTGTAGTATTTATGTAGGAAATTTACAGCCTGGGATGGACACCCTGCTAACACACTCACTCACTCTATTAATAACCTCCTGTGCCCTGACACCCTTGCTGTACCTTTCACACATTTAAATGTACCCACACTTGAATGTATATATGTACAGACCCTCAATACTCATAAACGCTCACACACTTAGAGAAACATTAGATCTACATTTATACTAAGCCACTGTATCAGTGCAGCAGCAGCAGTTTTAGTAGGTAATCTGGAATGTGCATGAGGTACTAATGAGGCCCGTTGTAAAACGGAGTAGTTTTCAACAGAGTAGTCGGTCAACAGGGGCGTTCAGCATTCTCATCATGAGCAGCCAGCAGTTGAGAGCTAAGTGGAAAATTCCACTGTTTGAGCGTGACATGCTTTCAGTATGCCTCAGCTTTTGCAAATAGATGGGAACACTGGTGTGCAATCCTGGGTGCTGGTCTCACAGAGTCCCTAACAGTTTGTGTTCTTTCCTGCAGAGTCGTCAAAGAAGAAATCTCTGATGATAACGCCAAGCTGCCCTGCTTCAACGGCAGAGTGGTGTCTTGGGTAAGCGAGACAGATGGTGCCCTCCTCTCTGTATTGGACAGATTGTGACATTATGAAATATCAGACTATCAACCCTGCTGAAAAACCCCCAGCTTAAAACAGCCTAAGCTTATTTGATGGTCTCTCAGGCCAGTCTGTTGGCTAGTTTTAGAGGAACAAACACAGATAATAAATTCCTGAATGAATGATTCTTATGAACCGGTTCTTTTTAGTGAATCAGAGAAATAGAATGGGACCAGTGTAGTCTGATTCCTGAACAAATGACAATTATGATGAACCACCTCTTTTTAGTAAAACAAATGCAGAGCTACCAGTGTAGTCCGATTACGAACAAGTGACTCTTGTGTACTAGTTCTTTTTAGTGAATAAACCAATAAAGCACAACTAATGTAAAATGATTATTGAACGAGTGTCTCTTATGAACTGGTTCATTTTAGTGAATCAAACAAATACATCACGACCAGTGTAGTCCGATTCCTGAACAAGTGACTCTTGTGAAGTAGTTCTTTTTAGTGAATAAACCAATAAAGCGCAAATAATGTTCTGTTTATTGAACGAATGTCTCTTATGAACTGGTTTATTTTAGTGAATCAAACAAATACAGCGCGACCAGTGTAGTCCGATTCCTGAACAAGTGACTCTAATGGACTATTTCTTTTAAGTGAATAAACCAATACAGCACGACCAGTGTAGTCCAGTTCCCGAACAAATGACTCTTATGAACCAGCTCTTTTTAGTGAATTAAAAACATTCAGGCATTTTTCAGTTGGCCAACCAGCTTGGTTAGGCTGGGAGACCATCTTAAACCAGTTAAAACCAGAAAACCAGCATTCTTAATACACACTCCTGGTTTAATTGTAAACAGTGCATGTTGTTTATACAAATGATGTTTATACTTATAATCTTTGATTAAAATGTTAAACCTGCTCTGCCTCTGAAACTGTCCGTTTTGTGTGATGACACGAAAGCCTTGTAATTATTTAACAATTACAGTATAAACCACTTTTCAAGATCTAATCACTACCCGATGGATAAAATCAAGTCCGCTCTGACATTTTTGTCGTTGAATATGTCCTGTTTCATGTCACATTACAGAAGTAAAATGGACGGCAATCTGAATTAAACTCTGTGACCTAATTTGTACGAGTAAACTTCATACAAATACAGGACTGTTTAAATATTTACACATGATAGTGGCAGCAAAAGCAAAGCATAATAATTAATCTGATAATTGCCTCTAAAATACACATCTACACTCCTACAAGCAGGTGTTATACCCATAGTGCTGTGTAGAGTTGATGTGAGGTGCAAAATACAGGTTAGTGGACTCCAGCGAGCCTCCAGCTGCAGAGAGCTGCACAGACATGCTGAGATACATGACATTGAGCTGGGCTGCACTTAAAATATGTGCTTCACTGCCTGCTGTCCAAACACGGAGACCTTCAGTATACCATAACATGATCACTGCTTTAACATAGTGCATTCAATTTCTGCCTTACTTCAAGGTTTTATCATTGGTTTGTGCAGAGAATATGAACAACAGTGTTTAGAGTTATATCCTCAGGTATCCGCATCTACCGCCCATTATTTGGATCGTGAAAGCACTTAACCACATCATAAGGCCCCTTTTTTGTCTCTGATAGAATGAGGTGGAGGAGTCGGACTGCTCATAGAAATATTTGCTATTCTATTGCATGGAATTTAACTGGACCAACCAGATTTTTTGTGTGATTTGAGCAAAGTATGCATCAATAATTACACCATTGTGGTCATATTTTATTGCTGATTTGAAATATGTTGAAATAGCATCCCAGGGCTTTTATCGAGAAGCCTGCCAAGTGAACTGACTTGCCTTAAAGGGTCCAAGTTTCACACTCCTCCGTCTGCTCAAACAAATACACTCTCTTCTCTTCCTTCTGCTGGTCTACTTATTTATGCAGGGCTAGTAGTTAGTCTGGAGAGTTTCTTCCTGAAGCCTTTGTGGGTAATTGTATGTGTGTGTGTGTGGCTGTAGTTGGTGTTGGCTGAAGGCACACACTCGGATGGGGGATCTCAGTGCACAGAGAGCCACAAAGAGCTGCCACCGCCCTTGGAGCGAACTGGAGGGATTGGAGATTCCAGACCCCCCTCTTTCCAGTGAGTAATGCCATGCAAATAATTTGTCTGACATTTATTACTCACTTTTTAGGCCCGTAGTAAACCAGTGAAGTTAGTGAAGGACACTTACCCATTATAACTGGATGTATGACAAATAAAGATAATGTAATGTATAAATTTAAGTCGGAGAGTCAAGTTCTTGATGTTGTTTTCATGTATTTTATATAACCCTTTGAATATGCAAGAGACCCATGTACACATCTTAAAAGTTTTCAAACATACACTATCGTTCAAAAGTGTGGGGTCAGTATGATTAATACAACGTCTCCAAGATGCTTCAAGAGACATACCTTCAAAACTACCTTCAAAACTATGAGCAAGTGCACCTAGGGCAAAAGCTGCTTTAAACGCAAAGGATAGTCACACCAAATGTTTTTTTATTTATTTAGTTAATTGAAGTTAATTGATACAGAAAATCTATTTATGACATTATTGTTGACAGCATCCTCATTTTACAGCATTTTTACACACGTGCCTAAAACTTTTAACAGTACTGTAGCTTTGCAGGTAGGTCTCTTGAAGCATCTTGGAGACATTGCCACAGTTCTTCTGGATTTAGTCTGTCTCAGTTTGTTCTGTTTCTTCATGTCATTCCAGACAGACTGGATGATGATGATGAGATCTCTGTGTGGCGCACTGGCTTTTGTCAGACTCCTTGTGCAAACAAAAACCTCACTTGATTGTTACAATTAATGGCAAAATAAATGTTTGGAAATGTAAACTAATATTTCCTACTGACACACTACAGCAAAAGATAGAAATAACTGAATTAAAACCATTTTTTAGCTGGTGAAATAATAATTTTGTACACCGCTGTATATATATATATATATAATCTTCATTTGTCCATAAGAGAGCAACATAAGAGACTTGTGCTCTCCACATGAAAAAGAAAACATTTTTAAAAATCTTACAAACTCCAAACTTTCGAACTGTATTTTTTCTTTCAAGGTAAACTATTGTTAGGGTTAGGGTTAGCTGTTTTAAATGAAATATAATGAATTATGGATATCACTGTGTTTTCAGCCTATTAATTGGTCTTTTTATTACACCTTTTAAGGCCTACAAACAAACAATTCTGAAACATTCAACATAGAGGAAGTGTATTCAAGTCATTGTATGAGTTGACACACACACACACTTTTGACAAGCATTACAAAACCACTGATTTGATTTGATTTGTTCTGAGTTCCTGACCACAATCACAGCAGTAGCAGATGTCTGTTATCCAGCTGGAGGGAAAAATATAATTCTTGTCCTTCCGGGAGCCACATGTGTGAATCACAGTCCAATTCCAGTGCCTGTCTCTTGAGCTGCATTCTAATAGAACACATGTTTGCCTCGCAAAGTTCAATGTGTTTGTTTGATTTGCCAGCATTCATGTGGTTAGGTCTTTAACCAGTCAATGCCTTCCTCCACTCATACACAGCTGCCCACATAATAATTCATATTCTTGGGCAAATACCAGTTATAGCTTTCGTAACATCAATATTTGTTTTAGCGATAGTCATGTCGGATTCATGAACGAATCTTTCTTGGACCAATTTGTTCTAATGATTTTATTAAATCGACTCACTGTTTCTTTATATCTCTTTTTGTGTGTGTATATATATATATA